CTTGGTACGGGAAGGTAGGTGGGGTCGGTCGGAAGGTTAGGTAGTAGTGGGGTAGGTTGGTAAGGACGATAGCCACGCCGTACTGTCGCACTTGTCTCCCTCCTCTCTCTCTCTCTCTCTCTCTCTCTCTAAGCTATAGTATCACTTGCCCATCACATTTCTGGTCAGTAGCCCACTTCTTTTCTATGTCAAACGGCAATGCTTTTCAAATTTCGTCTCTCTCATACTCTCTGTGTAAATTTCACTGGACATGTTCTTGTTACCTGGTGACTTAAAATAGGGTGTGGTTTTTGACCTTAAGCAATTGAATTAAGGCGCATCATCTCAAAATCTATAAAAAAAATTCTTAGAATTACCTCAAAATCTATTTTCGAGGAGTAATTTCATACAATGTTGCAGAGTAATATAATGCAATAATCTTCAAAAATTTTGTTAGAGATATTTGTTTGATCTAAAATTTAAAATATACTCTTTTCATTATAACGAACAATAAAAAAATAAATAAAAAAAAAGCCACTTTGAAAGTATATTTTAGCTCAATTAACATAGGCGGTCCATTTTGATAAGATGCTTAGATTTAGGCCATAGAAGGATATTTTAGTTTCAAACTTTTTTAGATGGCTTTCTTATCTTTAGATGAACAATGTTAAAAAAGAAAAAAATGCTTTTCAGTTTGAAAAAGCTAAAATCTTGAAATTCACCAAATGAATGGTCTAGATTTGTTATTGGAGGGGAATCGTTTTGCCTATATATAGGATTCAAATTGAACTTTTGTGTTTTTGGGATTTGATTATTGAGATGAATAGAGTATATGCGTAAAATTTTGAGTCACACAAATCCCACAAATATGGTTTTCTAAAAGTGTGGTTCCATTATACTATAATACAACCATTGCATTATATCCCTGCCTAGATAATGTATTGCAAGATGCACTATTTCTACGATTCAAATTTTTTTTTTTCATATTCATACATCTCGATGTTGAGATGATCAGTTAAAAGTTTTCTCAACATTAAAATAACCTTTTTTGATGGACTTTTTAAGTGAATCAATAATTCTACATTTTAAGGTTGCAACCTTATATAAACTTTACTACTACGTTAAGCTTAAGAGGGGCGAGCATTATCGATTTCATTGACGGTTTGACTTTTAATGCGGACACAAAAGCATGGTTTCCCGGCTTGGAGTTGGTCCGATCTCATTGTATAGTGGTAACGGATGTTATAAATGAAAGAAAAAATTATATACATATCCGTTATATTTTACGTTATTACGGATGTATCAAATAGTTTATGTTATTACATGTATGTCTGTTTTTTACTTTTTATAATGTAATTTTTTTAAAAAGACGATTTTACTCATTTTCAAATGTTGAATAACCGAATTGGAGGCTTTTTCTGATGTTCAACATCCGAAAATAAGCCGAAAGTTTAACTTTCACATTCCCATTTCGGGTGTTGAACATCTGGATTGAAGGGTTTTTCGGACGTTGAACATCCGAAATATGTTTCGGATGTTAGACATTCGAAAATGTCATATTTTCGGATGTTCAACATTCGGAAATATGACTTTAAATTTCCAGAAAGTCTTTGGAATTTCGCAGTCATTTTCGGATGATGAACATCTAAAAATATGACATTTTCGGATGTCCAACATCCGAAACTATTTTTAGATATTCAACATCCGAAAGTGTTATATTTTCGGACATCTAACATCCGAAACCATTTTCACAAGGAATATAAATTCGGATGTTCAACATCCGAAAATGGGAATGTGAACGTTAAACTTTCGGCCTATTTTCTGATGTTGAACATCCGAAAAACCCTCCAATTCGATTGTTCAACATCTGAAAAATTGTAAAGTCATCTTTCTAAAAAAATTGGGTTATAAACAGACATACATATAATAACAGAAACTCTTTGGTAAATCCGTAATAATGCAAAGTATTATGGATATTTATGTAATTTTCTCTAAAGGAAAATACCATCTTTTACAAAAGGGTGTGGTTTCTATAAGGTTGCGACCTTAAACAATCTAATTAAGGCGCACCTCCAAAGTTTATCATAATATATAATGTTGGTGTAAAAAAGCATTAGGATTATCTTCAAATCTATTTTTATATCTAATTGTAAAATTTTAAACTCCAAAAATGGTTAAATTCAAGTAGACATATAAACATGTGAAAATTATGAAAATGGACGGTCTAGATAATGTGCTGCAAGATGCACTATTTTTTGTACTCAAAATCTTTTTTCTTTCATATTCTTACATCTCGATGTCGACATGATCAATTAGAGGATTTTTCAATGTTAAAACAACATTTTCCAATGGATTTTTGAGGTGCATATGTAATTCTACATTTTAAGGTTGCAACCTTATATAAACAATCAAATTAAGGTGCTCGTCAAAATTTTCATTAGAAGACATTGTTTTGATGCTTAAATATCTTCAAATTAATTTCATTAGAAGATGTTGTTTTGATGCTTTAATATCATTAAATTAATCATCTCAACCTCAAGATGCATTGACATAGGAAAAAATTGATTTCAAGTTTTAAAATAGTACATCTTTGTAATGAATTTTTGGACCGTCAATTTTCAAGATTTTTAAATTTTTAAAAATCTGCTCGATCTACACTATATTTGAAGCTTTAAATTTTATAATTAGAGATGAAAGTATATTTTAAGTCTATCACAAAGATTTAAAGTATTTAAACCATATTTCTCGACACTTTGAGGGTGTGCTCTACTTTGATTGTTTAGAGCCTCGGATCTATAAAAGCCACACCCTTTAGAAAAGGGAAAACAAATAAAAGGGTGGTAAGGTGTGAGGGGGCAAAGCTAAATGGAAAAAGAAAAGGGAAAATTAAGTCAATATCCATTTTAGTTTATGTTATTACTAAAATAACGAATATTTTTTGTTATTATTGATATGTCGGTTTTTTGGACTTCATAACAATTTTTTTTAAAAAGTATGAAACTACCTATTTTTAGCTTTTCAAAAACCGAAATCAAGCCAATTTGAAAAGCTAAAAATTTTAAAATTTTGGTTGTTCAATAACCAAAATTTTTTTCTCCCCCAAAACTGACGAGTTTTAGGCCAAAAACCAGAGCTCCACCTTCGTCAGTCTACTCTTCAAAACCCCATAACCCCACAACCATGGTCTCTTTGATTAGCAAAGATGGTTTCAGATAGAGGTTTCATGTAGAGAGGGGGTGTCTGATTGAGAGAGGGGGTTTTAGAGCAAGAGAGGGTTTTAGAGAGATAGAGAAGGGCTTGCCAATTAGTATAGATGGTTTGAGAGAGAGAAGTTTGAGAGGGGGTCTCTGATTGAGAGAGGGGATTTGAGAGAATGAGGGTTTCAATGAGCAACGATGGTTTCAAAGAGAGAGGTTTTAGGGAGAGCGGGGGTCTTTGATTAAGGAGGGGGGTTTGAGATAGAGGGTTTCAAATACATAGAGAAGACTCTCCGATTAGCAGAGATGGTTTCAGAAAGAGGTTTCATGGAGATGGGGTCTTTGATTGAAAAAGTGGGGTTTGAGAGAGAGAGGGTTTCAGAGAGATAGAGAAGGGGTTTCAGAGAGAGATGGAGAGATAGAGAGAGAGAGAATAAGCAATGGATCCACAAGAGAGAGATTTTTTCATTATTCAAAAACCGAAATTAACCTGACTTCGGTTTTTGAAAAACCGAAAATGGATAGTTTCGATTTTTTTTAAAAAAATTGTTATGAAGTTCAAAAAATGAACATATCAATAATAATGGAAAGTATTCAGTATTTTAGTAATAATGGAAACTAAAACAGATATTTATATAATTTTCTCAAAAAGAAAAGTTGATACTCACAGGCAAATATTAAGATAATATTGTACCGGTGGAGGTTTTTGAAAACTAATGCCTAAAGAGTTTTTACTCCCGTTGGAGTACACTATCCATTTACTATATTGGGCAAAACACATGCTAGAATAATTTCTAGATCACAAATTTTGGGGATGTATCTGTACAACCTATAGACTAATCTCAATTTAAAAAAAATTATGAAATAAACTCTCTATGCACTAGAAAAAATTAATACTTCAAGATTGAATCCCATCCACTAGATCAAAGTATTAGAAAACTCAAAATTCAAGTATTATTATTTTTAAGCAATCATCTAATAACTTTTATGTGGTTCTCAATTTTAGACTCAACAAAAATCTTCCTAAATAGGTATTTTGGGCAAGGGAGTAGATGTATAATATACTCCTGTAGAAACATAGTATACTTGCTATGATATGGAGGTATTATAAGTATCTAGGCTGTTCAAATGTACAAACAACTTTCGAATCGGCCAAAATACGTGAAAACTATGTGTTTGAGTGGTTTGGAAAATATTTTAAATAGCCTGAACACTCCATTTTTTTAAAAATTTTTTGTGTAAGCATTTAAAAGTTTGAAAGACCAACCCAAGCACTTTACTTTTCTTTTTCTTTTTTTTTCGTTTTTCGTTTTTCGTTTTTCGTTTTTCGTTTTTCGTTTTTTTTTTTCTTTTTTCTTTTTAGTAGAGGGTTTAAAAGCTGGAGGTTCGAACTAACCAAACATGGCTTCATTTTTTTTTTTGTTGGTTCAAGGCTTTTGAAAGTTGGGCTTCAGAAGCACCTAGCTTTCTGGTGGTTTGGGCGTCCAAATGCTTAGTGTTCATTCAATATCTTAAGATGTTTTCACCGCTATTAAGAAAATGGTGCAGTTGGCATGCGGATGCAGCGCTATTAAGAAAAGGATGCAGTTGGCATAAGGATGTGCAAGGATGCAGTTGGCATAAGGATGTGCACCTTCAAATTTTATCATGGGATATGATTTTGATGTAAAATGTTCTTAGGATTATTTTAAAATCTATTTTTATATGTACTTATAAAATTTTAACTTTAAAAAAATAGTTAAAACAAGTAGATCTATAAACATATGAAAATCTTTAAAATGGACGGTGTAGATAATATGTTGTAAAATGTACTATTTCATGGTCATACATCTCGATGTTAAGATCATCAATCAAAGAGTTTTTCAACATTAAAACTACTTTTTTTGATGGATTTTTGAGGTGCATCCATAGTTCTACATTATAAGGTTGCATTCTTATATAAACTTTTTCTTAAAGAAAAGCTGAAAGTTTGACTACTATTAAGTATGGACGAGGTTTCTATATGGCCTAGATTCTATAAAAACAAAATAAACCCTCATCTCAAATCCTTATCCAGCGAGCTCTTTCAGCAACGGAAATCTTCATAATGGCTCTAAAATCATTTTCGAACACCTACAATGAAATTCGAAACTTGACAAATGAT